TTTTGTTTTTTTATTTATGTATTTATTTTTTTATAATATATATAGTACATGTAATAATATATATAGTATAGTATATGTAAAATATAAAATATAGTATATAATATAGTTAATTATATATACGACAGCTTTTTTTGAAAGGTTTTAACATATACGACAGGTTTTTTTGAAAGGTTTAATATATACAATTTTTTTGAAAAGTAAAACTACTGTTTTGTTTTAGTTGTGACAAGAGCGTGTACTTGGCGCCTTTTTTTTTACCTTTTTTTTAAAAAGGTAATTTTTTGATAAAATTGACAGGAAATTATAAATATTGGAACTAATTTAGGATACATAGAACAGAAATATTAAGCTTTGAGATTTAATTTTATTTATTTTAGACAAATCATACACTAAAGTCTCGAAACATGTGCTTTTTTGACAGAATGTATGGTAAAATTAATTTATACAATCATACTAATCATTACTATGCCTTATAGGACAATTTTTTAGAGACTTTAGTGTATGATTTGTCTAAAATACATAAAATGAAATATCTCAAAGTTTAATATTTCTGTTCTATGTATCCTAAATTAGTTTCAACAATATTTATAATTTCCAGGCAGTTTTATATATAAAAAAAATATAGCATAAGTTACTTTTTGTAGTTATCCTAAATTAGTTCCAATATTTATAATTTCCAATCAATTTTATATCCATAGAAAATAAGAAATAAAAATTATAAATATAAAGGTTAAATAAACTTATAATAAGCACGGCTAACTGACACTTCTCAACGCCGCAAGCGCCCCTAGCGTATAAAAAGCGAAAATGGAACATCCCAGACGACGGAGACGTTGACTGAAATAGTTTTTTTGATATTTTGACTTTAGATTTTAATATCTTTATTTATACAGCACGTAGAGTAAAAACAAACATACTTTTATTATATAATTTGGACATGCACAATCGATTGGGCCTATTTTTGAATTGATCGGCTTAGGCGTTACTGAGATCCGATAATCTCGGCTCGTCTCAGCTTTTGGGCTCGCATAAAGATACACGGTCGGTCTTGCGCCTGTGTTGCGCGCTGCGCGTGAACTTGGCGCGAGACACTACCGTGTCTCTTGATTTGTTTGTATCATTTTATAAAAAAGATGTGATATTAAAACTGGTGCCAAGCGAGAATAAAAATTATACGTATTATTACTACAAAAATAAAAAATTGTTTTATATTTTATACAAAAGATATATATCTATATAAATAGATAAATTATGAAAAAATTTACGTCAATAAAAAATAAAAAATATATTTAAAGCAGAAAAACTTGGCGCATATAATGTTAGTATTCGATAAAGATATGAATTTCCAATATAGTATTTTATCATTGATTGTACATTGTATCTTTCTCTTTTTCTCTATTATTTTCTTTTTTGTATTACTAATCATTTACTGTAATATACGTTAATACTAAAAATACTAATAATATATGTTTACATAATATACGTTTAGTATTAAACATAAGACATTGATTAACTTTATGCTAGTTAATGTGTTATTTGGTGTAGCAGCGCGTCAAGTTTTTCTGTAATTAATAGTTAAATATTTTTTTACTTTTTATTGGCGTCAACTTGTTAATGATATAATAATTGATTATAAAATTTCAATGCATTGTAGTAAAGAAAATATGAATTTTAAAATGCCTAAGCCTACCATATTTTATAATACAAAACTTCAGTGCATACAATTGAATAAAATACATTTTAACATTTTATTTTTTACACATTATTTTATATTTTTATATTATATAAAATTTATCTTACTTTTTAATATAAAGATTCCTAAAACTCATTAAAATAGTTTTTTATAAAATCCAGTGTACTCATAATTTAGAATTATGACTGTAAATTTGAATGTAATATTTTATGAAATCTAGAATATGCAATTTTTATTATTACATAATTTTATTATTTTCTTTAAATAACAATAATATTTGATAAAGAAATGTTCTTATACTTTTTAATTAATTAAAGATTTAAAATCTTTTTGTTTAAATTCTTAATAATTTAATAAATAAGATTAATCAAATAAATGTTATATCTAACTCTAGATCTATGTTTCAGAGTGGCATCAAACCAAACGAAAACAAACAATTCAGTACCAGTGCATCAACAAATTTTAGCTCTGGTTTCTGCGCCATTTGGTGACTCGCCATTATTAAAGAATCTTTTACCGGTAAATATCTTGGTTATTTAAGATATTACGCAAAAGCAAATAAGAAATGCGTTAATGTCATATTTTTATAGGCATCCGGAAAGACTGAAGAACTCTTGAAACCTACAAATCCAACATCGAAAGCATTGAACAGTCCGCAATACAGAGTCATCACCAATAACAAGTCTCCAAAACTTAAGGCAAGAGTTGTTAGTTCTACACAACTTTCTAAGGTAAATTTATTAACATATAGAAAATTTTTTAGCTTTTTTTAAATATTTAAAATATTGAACACATTAAACATTGTTGCAAAAAGTTTTTAAAATATTAATTTTATTACAAAGTGTAGTTCTTCAAAGGTAAACAATGATAAAGAAGGCAATAAAAATCGCGATTGTCGAAGCACAAAAACTATTAACTATTACATATCGTGTGTTTACAAGAAAAAAGCACAAGTCTCAAAATTAGATTGAGTTATTTGCAATTTAAAGTTTGAATACATTTTTAAATTTGTTATAAATTATATTTGGCTTAATAAAAATACATCTCTTAAGATAATTATGCTTTGTTTATACGTAATGATACATAAAGACGGTTTTTAATGATATATTAAAATTTAATAAAAAGGACGGCTTTTTACTTGTAAGCCCATGATATTATTGATATATCATGTTAATTTGCTCTAGCATGTTGTATCGATCGGTGCTATGTGTGCGATCGGTAAATTCAATCTTGCTTCTATTAATTATTTGAATTTTAACTCTTTGTTTTATGCTTTTTATATAACTTGAACCTTTCTCTTTTTTTCTTTCTATTTTCTCAAATTGAAGAGGACTTAAAATTGTGACCGAAACGTTTCTTATATATTGATTATATAAAAATAATAGTTAACGTATAAAATAATAGTTAACTGGCACTATCAAAGCAATCAAAATGATCATGGTTATATATAATTTCTTATAACAATTTTTTTAATTTATAATGGTGCATTTTTTGACATATTTTGTGACTTTTGTTGCAATGTGTAAATGATTAAATTGATTACTTTACATTTTCTTTTTATACTTTTTTAGAAAAGAAAGAAAAAAGAAATAGAAATACATATGTAGATATATGTTCATTGTTGATAATATTAATAATTCTTGTGCTCCAATAACCATGTTGTACTTCTTATTGCTGTTGTCATTGTTATTTATATTTTTATTTTACTTATTATTTATATTTATTTAAAAATCGTTTTAATATATATAGCCAATAGAGCAAGAGCTGGATCGATTTGCTCAAAAATTCCTTTTATTTATAAAATTCTACAGACGTTTCGGCCAAGGTACGTGGCCATCTTCAGTGTAATACAAATTTTAAAACTTATCGAGTCCCACTCACATCCGTGGACACATGTCACAGTTTTAATTGCTTTTACATAGTAGTGACGAACCGTTAAGTTAGACGGTCCGTGGCTTCACACGTATATAACTTTACTAACCACATTGTACTACACGTTTATCAGAGGATGCGTTTCCTTAGTCAAAAATAGTACCAAAGCTTCGCTAATCATGTACTAAGTTTTAAAATTTGTATTACACTGAAGATGGCCACGTACCTTGGCCGAAACGTCTGTAGAATTTTATAAATAAAAGGAATTTTTGAGCAAATCGATCCAGCTCTTGCTCTATTGGCTATATATATTAAAACGATTTTTAATTTAATTAAGGAAGAGCAATAACCAATTATTATTGTATTATATTTATTTATTTATTTATTTATTTTTTATTAGATAAACTTATAAATTATTATTTTTCTATGAAATAAGTTGTTTTAATATTTTTTAGAAATCTTTGTTTGATGGCCTTGAAGAAGATGATTCTGTGTTAACTGAAGCTTTTCAACCTCGGCCAAGTGCAAAACGTTTGGTATTACGACCAAAGTCGACAACAAATCCCTCAGTTCAGTCTTCTACAGAAAACGGAGAGACAGTAACGAAAAATGCTGCAACAGATGACAGAGTGGATACATTAAATACTGTACAGAGTAATAATGTTGAAGTTAATAACAAAGAAAATCACAGTCAAAATAATAATCGACTTTCGAACGATCGACGATCTTCTACATCTTGGTAAGATAATAATATTCATACATTTTTTTTTCAAATTTTTTTATACATATATCTTATTAATATATCTTATTATATATATATACACAAAGTGAGGCATTTAAAACAGGCCACCTGAATAACTCGCCTACTTTTAGCGATAGAAAAAAATACATCAGACCAATCTTGGTTTCAAGGGGGACATAATCTGATGTCAATAAATTTTTTGTATGTCGAAGTGTACAGGAGATGCAAGGTTAACTTAGTTTTTTAAAATGGAATGATATGTTTTTACTTATCTTCTAATACAGCGTTTTAAGACACATACAATGACCTATGATTATAGGTCATTCAAGGTCCTTAAAGGTGATGAAAAATAATTTACTTCAAGGAATCAATCAAACACTTTCGTGTTTTTTTTTATTATTGGTATATCGTTCTTGCAATTGCTATACGGATTGCAGAATGTAAACAAACGTTCAATCACGTACGCTTCATGGAAGTTTGAATATTACAAAGTCGCACTTTGGTAGCATGCCGCCAATAATAGCGTACAATGTACGCTGTATTCATATTATGAAGCGTACAATGTTATTGAATGTTTGTTTACATTTTGCGATCCATATAACGATTACATAAACGATATAACAACTAGAGAAGACATGAAAGTGTTCGATTGATTCCTTGAAGTAAATTATTTTCCATCATACTTGGCTTTTAACGACCTTATATGACCTTGAATGACACGCTCTATTAGAAGATAAATAAAAAACATCATTCCACTTAAAAAAAGGAAGTTGACTTTCTCATCTTCTCTACCCTCACCTACAAAAAAACTATTGACATCGGATTACGTCTTCCTAGAAACCAAGCGAGATTGGTCTGATGTATTTTTTCTCTATATACAGGGTGATTCAGAACAATCTACTGTCCTTGGAATGTCAAATTCTTAAGTAAATTCTAAGACGATTTTTCCTTTTACAAAATTTTGTCTGAAACTTAGTTTTCGAGTTATAATTGAAAATAGTTTGCTGCTTGCGAGTCCGATACAACAGGCAGGCAGGGACGCGCAACGTATAATGAGACTGTCAACTTGACATATATACATATATATCTCCCCCCCCCCCTCCCGGATAATGCGCGCGCGCATTATTAATCCGGTTTAGCAATGTCCGTAGTCAAGGACATGGACCGGAATTAGTGATGCAAGATTGAGCATCCTGCATCAAGCACTACATGAGGGGAAGAGCCCCCACCATGGCGGCACCACACAAGCGAGCATCGCTGACGTCACGCGTCCGTGTGCGCTCGCTGTTGGGTTCTTCTTCCTTGATCATTAAAAGTTAAAAAAATTTATTAAAAATATTTTTTTTATTTTTAAATTTATTATGTGAAAATATTTCAATAGATTTCCACGTCACCCATGAGGTACTATTGCTATTGAGGAAAAAAAATATTTTTAATAAATTTTTTTAACATTAATCGGATAGCGCCGCTCCTAACGCTCGGCGGCGCTGGTCCTAGCGGCTGTCGCGCGCGCGGTGAAGAGAGGAAAGGAGGCGTATATCACGAGAATCAGCTGAAAAGATGAAATAATTCCGAGGCCTGTCATAGATTATAATACAAAGATAATTTGTTTTTGTTAGAAAGTAAGTTATCTAATTCGTATCCGTATTAGCCAATAGGTAAACATGTAATTTTGTACAAATTAGCAGCGCTGGTGTGCGATCGGAAATGATCGAACTTTGTCAATTATGGAAAGCTCGTAGAATACGTTTGTTAGATTGGTTAACGTTATTAGAAGAGAATAAACACCTGAGAAGAGAAGTCGTACATTAAAAAAGAAAATAATGTCGTATAAAATTTGCATGCATTTTCTACTTTTCGTACGTTTCGGTACTTGTCATTTTTTGTGGTTTATACTTTTCTCTTTGCTTATATTAATACTGAATAAGCTTTGTATTCGTTTTTTTTAAGTGCTAAATTATTTTGTTGCCACGCAGTTCCACCTAAAATTTATTTCATTATTTACCATTAAAGTTATAAAAATAACATGTCTATTCATTACAAGAATATTTTCTAAAAAGGAAAAACCTACCAAAAACGTATAACATACTATTTACATATTATCATATCACAAATATCTATATCAATTAATGTATTAATGTACAAATACATTATTACGTACGTTTAATAATTTTACTTACTACACATGTGCATGTTATTTTATTCTGTGTAACAAACGCTTCTAAACATAACTTGTCAATTTTCATTTGTTACATATACATATTGCTTTTTTTCATATTGTGAGCATTTTTGAGTAATATACTCAGATTAATGACTAATAGTGAATTTGTATCTGGTGTCGAAAATAGTTGTTAAAACGAGAGAGCAATCATCAACCCAGTAATATGCGCCGTAATATTATTCCAATGTTAAAACAAATATTAGTATCAAAATTTTCATAAAATAGTAACACAATAATATAAGTGTCTAAATCTTAATAAAACTAAAAATAAAATGTTAATTATACAGCACAAAATAAAATATTTTATTGTTCAAGTCATTTATACGTTATATACAATGACTAGAATTACCATGTCATCATAATTATTATATTATGCTAATAAAAAACTATATTTGCTATAATAT